CATTGACTTTGCGGACTCAAAGAAGAACGGTGGCAAGCTACTGGTTATCAATGGATTCCGCTTCTTTCGAAACAAGAAGCGCGGTCATTTACAGTATTGGAAGTGTAGGAATTACTACAAGGAGCGCTGCCCCGCTATAGCCATCCATGATGAGTCCTCTCTAATCCTGCGACTGTGTCATCAACATCAGCACACGGAGAGTAATGATATTATGATTAAGCCGCTGCCGCAGGGCGGAGAGACCAAGTTATCACCACCCGTCGAGTGGGCGAGTCACGAAGATGATGAACCCGAGGAAGGTGAAACCGCTGCGAGGATTCGTGATCGAGAGCCAGTTCTTCGGGGGCCGCCACCTTTGACAGAAATAAAGCCGAAGTTGAGGAATTTGGACCTGTAGCCGAGATAAGAAGCAGTTTTTAACACTAAGTTGATTTAAAAGAGTGTGAAATCTATGTATTAAAGCCGAAGACTGTACAACGTTTTTCAATGCCTAAAATAAGTTCATGAATCCTAACCCATTTAATAGTTCTTTTGTACTTATTAACAATCATTTATTAACTTATTTCTCCTGCATTCCGTTATGCTTACAGATATCGACTACGGCCATGGACAGTATCGTGGCAGCAATCCACACATTCATTTCTCACAATCTAAGCGCGGTGGTCAGCTCCTTTGGCTGGACGGTATGAAGTTCTTCCGGAACAATACAAATCGTACGAATTTGTATTGGCGTTGCCATTGGTACTATCGCCACACCAAGTGCCCAGTGCTCATCTGCATGAGCAAGACGAATAGCAACGATTTCCGGCAGATCCATGACCACTGTCACATCCGTCCGAAGCGCAAGGAAAAGGCCACGGCTGGAACGTCAACGAATTTAAGGATGAGAACTCCGGTGGTGTCTAACGTGATGAGCCTGCCCCAGAGCATGGCGCACCTTTTCGATATGTAATTTAAGTCTGTTTCGTAGATGATATAAATAAAACTGAAAGAATCATACATTTAGCCTTCCTGATTGTCCAATTTACTAAGATTTAATTGTAATTGTTAATAGCTTAGACCACAACTAATCAATTTTTTCCTTCCCATAAAAATATTTCAGTTGTGCTGGCCAACGATGAGGTTCCCAATCCGGAGGATGTGCTGGTTTTCTTCACCCAATCGCTCCGCGGGCGACCGGCCATTATGGCCAATGGCATTCGCTTCTTGATCATGAGCGAGAACAAGAAGAAGATCTTGTGGCGGTGCAGTTCGATGGCCACTAAGAAGCTGAAGTGTCCTGCCCGCATTACCATGCTGAAGGAGACGCCACCCAAGTTCATTATCAACAAGGCGGAGCACATGCACGCTGAGCTCAAGCGGAATAAGTACAGCTCCAGCAAGGCGCAGACGCTGCGGGAATCGCGCCAAATGGCCGCCAAGATGGACTGCGAAATGGAGGTCGATGGCGACGTCAACTTCGATCTACACGAGGAGGAGTTGCACGACCTGACCTCGCACGATGTCTAGTTAGCATTAGGTGTACATTAGAGACGAGCGAAAAGTTGATCATTTTCATTAAGAATAAATGCAAGCAAAATTCATCACTAAGGCCAAACGAATAACTCTTGAAAACTTATTCTCATTGCCTAATTATAGCTTATCATGATCTCTTACTAACCGGTAACATTTTCATCTACTTTTTAGGCAAAAAATTTGGCTATGTGGTCAGTCAAAAGGGACGCGTTCAGCTCATCCATCGCAACTTCTCCTACGTTCGCGAAAAGTGTATAAACAACAAGATCTATTGGCGCTGCACCCAGTATACCACGCAACTCAAGTGTCACGGAAGAGTTCACACCTTAGGGGGGCGGGTTGTGCACACTAGCAATCACAATCATAAGCCATTTGGCCAAGGGCGAAGGCAGTCTATTAACATTATTTCTATGGATTGATTGGGGATTTGTAAAACCGAATTTTTATCTATTTAAAAAATCAATTCTAAGCAGTTTATTAGAAGCATGTTTTATTAAAAAAAAAATCAATGCTTAGAATTGACCATAGAAATTTTTTTAATTTTATTTATTTACGATCTCAAAAAAACTAAGTCAGGACATTATTATTTTAAGCTTAAACAAATCTCTTTATACAATGATCTCATTTTCGATTTAATGTAAACTCATGTACAGAAAATAAACTTAAATTAAGTCTAAACACTGTGTAACCAACATATATTTTAATTTCTAGCTTATTTCTTAAGGACTTTGCTTTCTATTACTAACCCATTGTGCTCTTACCTTGCAGATATGGCGCGCTTGGCCAGTTTTAGCAGCACCCGAAAGAAAAAACGGAAGTTGGTCATCGACAACCACGAGTTCGTAATGGATAGGAAGCTGAAGAGTAGCATCAATTGGCGTTGCTCCCGCTATCGGAGTGCCAACTGCAAGGTCCGGGCTACCACTCATGTCCTGAAAAGTGGCCAGGAGGTCTACCGTCTGAAATTTGCAAAACACTCGCATCATATCTGACCTGAGAGACAATTAACAAAATAGATATTAAATAAATCTAAATGCCCAATTGCCTCAGTTTGCATATTTATTTTATAGTTAAAGCTAAGCCACAAAGGCATATTAATAAAGAAATCTTTAATACACTTAGATAATAAACCGAAGAAGAAATTAGACGACTGACTGTAAGCTAATATTAATATATAATCTATTCGGTCTTTTTTCAAGAACTCAAACTAATTAATTATATATTTGTCTCTCTTTTCAGATATTATTCGCAAGAAAGGCATCATGATTGTCAAGGGCACGAAAGGAAAACCCAAACTTCTGATGGGCGGATTCGAGTACTACCGCAACAACTCGCGGGGCTCCAAGACCTACTGGCTATGTGCCCGGAACCGATATATGCGCTGCGCTGCTCGAATCATCACCTGCTCAGTGACCGGAGAACTGATTATTAAAAATCAACAGCACAATCACGACGCTCTTAATCATCCACTTGCGGAGAATAGTGAAAAGACGTAGACTACTAGGAGTTTTCCACTGTATATGAGTTTTTTAATCATTCCCTTCTTCAAAAACACTATATATTTAACATTTTAACTATCACACTTACGTAACTTACCGTACGATTTCTAAGCTATATTTAAACACTTGATCAAACATTATCATTACTAGAAATACTTGCTCTTCGTTTATGGAAGGTCTTTTAAATGTTAGAATAGAATTATGTTTCATTCTATTAAAGTTTTGAAGGGATCACTTCAAAAATTAATAAAGTACCCTTACAATATAGCAGGTAAGAAACAGAGATATTAATATATACAAGCGTTTATCGTTTAATAGTTTGGAATACTTGAATGATGAATAATGAATGTATAAAAAAAAGTTTTTAGTTTCATAAAATGTATTTGTATTTTTCTCCTATTCTTTACATCGTTTAGATATTTCAGTTAAGTTTCAAGATATATTCATACCAGGTAAGTTAAATGAAGTTAATTAAAATGTATTTAATGTATTGGTTATGCATACATATAAGAAAAGATAAATTAGTTTAACCCAAAAACAAGAAAGGAAGCTAACTTCGGCCCGCTGAAGTTTGTATGCAATGCATGTTTGTATTAAAATTCGATCACTATGAATTAATTCAATATGAATTAAATAAATTTATATATTTGCGTTACAAACTTCTGATTGAAATTATAATACACTGCAAGGGTATACAAAACAGTATTTCCAAGGGCACTAAGTGACAATAAACAGTTTTTTTATAAACAGATACTTTGGTTATACGTTCTCAGTATGTCAACGAACGCTAAATATCAACAAGTCTTTGTTATTTCTGTTGCATGGCAAGTTCGTAAATTGATACCGCACACAATGAGACGGATTCTGTTAATTCTTCGGGTAAACTTTGGTTTTCTTGTTTACACAAATCGATATCCAAGCAAAATGATCAAGAACTGTGGAATGAGAGAAAAGCTGAATCAGCTTTCCAGACACTTAAAATGTGTCTCATAAATTCCTTAAGAGCGACATATTAATCTGGTATTGCACGCATTTGTTTGCGTTAATAACATGGCTGCGAAAAATATGTGAGCATTATTTAAAAACGGGGAAAATGAAAAATGTATAAACACTCAGGAATATTTTCAAATATCAAAGTATCAACATAGAAATAGATAGATAGATAATTCATAAAATACATAGCATATTTATGTATGTTCACATAATATATAGAATTCCACATATGATTGTATTATATCCTGCTTTTATATTATGTAGTTAGACTATTTTAACTTTGTGGAAATAAGACAACGTCCATAATATTGATAATATTAAATAATAATTCAAAATATTTTTAACTTATCGCTTAAACGAGAAGGTAATCCCATTGATAACGATCTAGGGTGACGTTTATCATTTTCCTAAATTTCCTACATGTTTTATTTGACTCACTTTAATATTCATTATATTATTATATAATTTATTTTATTATTATTTTTCTTTTCAGTCTGTAAAATGTTTTGGCCACTATTTATACTTTTAATAATAAATTGTGGAAACAATAATAAGTGGAATGATATTGCCTTGTTTACTATAGGTAATATTTTTACAGATAGTAAGGCAATAAAGGTTTCATATTTTATAAAATGATCATTGTATTGTATGAATTAAACATCGGTACATCTTTTATTATAGAAGTTTAGTAAGACCACCAATTAACAATTTTTTCAACAGTAAATGGACAAATTGAATTGTTAAAAAAACACACACAGCATATTTGTAATAATATATGATAAGATAGTTCAATCTAACCGAATAAAAGACAGATTAAAAAAATTTATTATCGTCATTAGCGCCACATACCGGGGAAATATTCCTTTTCACTTTTGTGGTATATTTTAGTACATTATTTGTAGTTCCATGGCGTTTCTGAACCACCGCGCGAGGGTCACTTGTATCTGACGCACTTTGAGGTACTCTCCGCGAGGGCTCAAAAAACGTATCTTTCAAATTCTCTCCGAAAGTTGAACCGTGCGGACGTATCGCGCGTGCCGCGTAGAAGATACACACATCCCATAGATACAATTTCCCTAGCTCGTAGGTGGTGTGTATTGCAGCAGAAGCTGGCTTTTCGCTGCTGCGCTCAGCGCTCTCCCATTAGCCGTTGCCGCTGCTGTCCGCGAGAGCGAGCGTCTCTCGCCCGAACTGTGTGTGGAGCTGTGTGAAAATTCAATAAAACAAAGAGCCGAGCGCGACTACTGACCAAGTGAAAATCGGTTCGCAATTCCAATTGCCAGGCTCTGGAGAGAAATTAATAAGACGGAATAATAGAACTGCAAAAAGCATAAAGAAACTGAGTGCTGAGTGTTCGTGTGCGTGTGCAGAATTTGGTGTATACCTTGAACGAGCGCTGTGCGAGTGTGTGTGTCTCGCGTGTCGCGGCCCAAAGTGCGGCTCGCTAGCTTGATTCGCAATTAATTAATATCAATCAAATGTGTAAGAAATACAACGACTTTGTCTGGTTTGCTGCAAAAGTGTCTACTAAGCCCCAATAACTTGCCGAGGGGGGATTGCCACAGAGGCTCTGTGGGGAGCGAGGACGGCGGAGAGACCAGAGAGTCCCTGAGAGAGGAGGGCTTACCAACACAAACAAAGCGGCAGGCGCAATATAACGGTGCAAACGGTGGTGGAGCCATACAACAGCAACAACAACAATGCTGAGAAGGCTGCGACTTTAGCTCGACTCTCCAAATTTTTTGCATTTGCGCAGAACCGAGGCGAATTCGCCACTTCGCCGCAGCTGCTGTGTGTGAGAGAGTGTGTGTGTGTGTTTGGAAACACCTTGCTCCAATATTTTTCCCCCGATTTTCCCCGATTCTGCGATTGCGAACAGCACGACCGCACGACCAACGGCGTCGCCATCGTCTCAGTCTCAGTTTCGGTTCGCTTCGTGTGCTTTCTGTTGGCTGCCCTGCAGCGGAAAATTGGACGAAAAATCATAGCAGCAGCACCATATAGCCAGCAGAAGAGGCAGAAACTCCCAAAAGGAAAAAAAAGGGAAACAAAAACGAATTGTAAATTTTCCAATGCTGGTTGGCTGCGTTTCGCACGCGATTCCCCCTTTTACTGCATTTTCGTTGGAGACAACACGAAGAACGGGTAAAACCAGGAGAACGGGTAGAACGCTAAAGAAGAAGAGCAGCTCCAACATTGTCGCCGTGCCGTCGACGCCGACGTCAGCGTCAGCGTTAGCGTCGCTGCAGCGCCGCAGCATCATCAGCTAGCCATGAACTACAACTACAACTATAGCTGCAGATACAGCAACAACATTGAGAGCCCCAACAGCAACAACAACGAAAGCATAGAACAGGTTTGTACACCGAAAACAAATATCTTTTAAAGCTCACTTTACTAGATAGTTTTAAAGATCTTGAATATATTTATAGATCAAATTTTGATATACCAAGAAATTTATGTTATTGGGAATTTATGCTAAAATCTGATATAGTTTTGGGATTATTTTGATCTTAATTTAATAAATTCTTAGCGTACATAATGACAAATCTTGAACTATATTAAATATTTCTGTGTTAGATGTTGATTTTATCTCTACAGTCTTAAATCTGATGAAAAAAGTGATGCAATTTTTTATCTTAATCTGCTATAGATTTTTAATTAATTTCCATTTTGATTTTAACGTTACTTTAAAAATTCCATAGCTTAGAAAGGCATTAAAAACTATTGAAAGATATTTACATCAATTACAGAAAAATAATTGGGGATCGTAAAAAATATATTCATACTTAACAAACTGAGCACCTTAAACAAATCCCATAAAATTATATAAAAATTCAAAGCTTTGTTATCAATTAAAATTAATAACAACTTAAGCATCGTTAAAGTTACAAAAATTAATTTTAAGTGGGTAAAGTAACCTGCTTTGTAGTATAAATTCGTGTCATTATCAGAGCTACGTAATCTCCCAGCACGAGTATAATTTTTTCCGCTCCGTGCACAGACTCGCCATCGTTGCTCTCCACTCGTCGTTCGCTTATTCATAACTTTTTTGGTTATAGATTTTTGTCACCCCCTCCGCCTCCCTCGCCACCGAAGCGGGGAAACCCAACCTCCAGCTCACATCCACCTAGCTGTCCTCACCGTCGCCCCCCCACGTAGCGCCATCATCCTTCAGTTGCGCTCACATGCTCAACTGTTTCAGTTTTTCAATTATTAATGGTGGCCATTAGTGCGCGCGCCGTTCGACTGCCCCGCCCCCTGTGCCATGTGCCACACTGTGGCACTGCCAGTGCCAGTGCCAGTTCCGCCCACCCCCGTTTTTCCGAGGGTGTCGTGTAGACGCTTTTTTCCTTATCGGACAAATTGTGTTTGTCTGAAAAGTTCAATGAGGTGCGCGCACTGCAATTGCACTCCATCTCTCCCCCGTTGCAGCTCCTGACCAGCCGTCATATTTATGTTATCGACGCATAGATAGAAATCATGTTGGTACATCGATGCATAAGCACGGGTTTAACCAGATAACAGCCCGCAGCACAACGGAAATGTATTGCATTAGGGGAATTACTATGGGACGTAACTCTGACTCCGACTCCGACTGCGGCTGCGGCTACAGAGTTGTTGATTAATTCACCTCGAGGTGCGTGTGGGTTTCGGAAGTGAAGTGTGAGTGTGCCGTTCGTTGTTGTTAGCTCACCCGATGTGAAAATTGTCTATTTATATTTATTGCTTAGTTCGTTGCTCCGAATCCCAGATAAGAAATGCCTCTTAGTCATTGGAGTGAATAAGGATTTACGTATTTCAATGGAAGTTGCTGTGGACACGGTTGCAAGAGTTGACAACAGGCACGATAAGTTCTGAAAGGTAGTAGCCAGTCAGCCAACCGTTGGGGATTCAGCGAGACAGATGTCTCACATAAACAAGGGTATAAAAAAAGATAAAAATGTCATAAATATACTTAAACTGACAACTAACTTACTATAAATGTGTGTACATATGTAAATGTTGCTCCAATTAATATCAGTGGAAGTTAATTTTTAAAGCAAGAATGATGAAAGTATGACTTCATTGATAATAAAGCTTATTTAGCAGTTTTAGACTTTGAAAATTAATAAAAATCTCTTTAGTATTTTAAAAATATGCAACAAAATCTTGAAAGATATAGCAAACTGCTTAAAGAAAGCCTTATATGAACAATGAAGAATAGACAACTTATTTCTGTACCTAAAAGTCAAATTTAAATACCCAAGGGAATATGATTGAGTCTCAAATTAGAATAGTCTTTTGTAATTACAGACATTAAGAGAATCGGTCTATAAATCACCTTTATATTTGCACTTCCATATCCTTTTTAGTATCCTAACATTATCGATCAATTTGACCAAATTGTGTTCTGCCTAATTGTTCCGCCTTGCCTTTGGGTAATTCCATGAGGGGGTTAAGAAACTGCTTGCTTTATTATACCATCCAAGTCGCACTTAAGTCCCCCCCCAGGACTACCCTTAGAGTCCGGGACACATGTGTCCATAATAGAGCGTGGCATGAGCCAAGGCCATCATTTACTCGGGGCCAGACCACCTGAAAAACCAATAAAGTCATTTCACACACATTAACCTAACCAAAAGGAGAGCAACACGCAACCCAATCTCAAAGTAAGAAGGGGCCCAGTCCATTTGATAATTGCACAGAGGTGTGTGTTTTTGGACCATGCGCATCTTCCAGACTCTTTGTCATGGTCTTACCCTCACACCATGCCACCCCATCCAATCTAGCGAACACATGCGAAACTCTGCTCGGTCACATATGTTGCCCAAAGTGATTATTTTCACTAAAAATAAACGAAATTAATGATTGATGAAGTGAGACAAGGGAGCGAACGCATCCCATCCATTCCGTAAGCTCCAGAAAACGCAGAAAGCGGCAGTCAACACCACCAGCCGCCAACCCCACAGTAGTTGCAAAAAATTTTTCAATTTCAATTGCGAACCGGGGTCGGATTCGGAATCGGGTTCGGTCTTGGGGTTGGGGTTGGTCTTGGGGTTGGACTTGGGCGGCGGATTGGTCGGGCATCCTAGAACCGGATTCCAATGAAAATAAAAACAGAGGGAACATGGCAAACGTAATGAGAAATAAGCCGTCACATAAAAGAAAAGTGTCTTTTAATTGAAACCAGGTGAAGGAGATGGCCTGGACTTGGCTTGGGAAACGGAACGGACCGTGTGCCGCTCGCAAAAGTTTCTTTTGTGCCCATGCCGCTCTGTCGCAGCCAGACGGAAATCATAAAAATGTTGAATAAAAATATTTTTTATGTGTGCTGCTGCTGGTGTAGCTCCTGCTGCTGCTGTTGCTGCTGCTGCTATGGCGTCTGCTGCGTCTTTTTGGCCTGGTGAAAATAATAATAAAATGGGAATAAAATAAAGCAAGTAGAGGCGGAACGGAACGAAACGGACCCGGCCGGGTGCCGTGCCACATATTTCGTTTATATTTACTTGACAAGTTTTTGCACTGCGTCGAGACGTCTCCGACTCCGTCTTCCATGGGTCTTTGTGTCTGTGCCATTGGTGCACTCAAAGAAAATAGACAATAGTTTGAGACTTATGTTGTAGGGAGAATACCAATAAGATGATATTGCTTTTTCTCTTTTAAATTTAAAGTTCTTTACTTTTAAACAGATCTTGAAAGCTGTTGGGGTGACAAACAGAATCTATTAAGTTTAACTAACGATAAACTTTCAGTTATATTGAAACAATTGAACCCACTTGGGCTCTATTTATTGATAGTAATTAATTTGCCAAGTATAATACATTTTCCCTATCAATCTTCTTGATTTTTTCCTAGTGGAAGTGCTCCTCCTTCTTTTCTGACTGGGACTTGGATGTCTTGGGTTGCCCCGTTTGCCATTTTTTTATATTTTTTGGCGGCTGCTATGCAGCGGCGCTCCTCGTCATCAACAACATCATCAGCACGGCTCGGGGGCTGCCTTGTTGCCTGGCGCGGGCTGGCCTGTTTTATAGTCCAAACGTGATAGCGAAATGTGGCCGTCTTTTGGCTCCTCCTTGGGTCTCCTTCGGTCTCCTTTGACACCCCGAAGTCCCCGTCCCGTCCTTCCCTCCCTCATCCCTCTGTCCCTCCTGCTGTGCATTTTCGTGCAGTTCGAGGCTGGAGTCTTTGGCAGTTTCCTTGGCTGGGGTGCGCCTCGGAAAAATAAATTAATGGAAAACATGCAAACATAAATTCTCTTTAGCTGTCAGGTGTTTCACATTTAAAACGTAAATTATAAATAAGCAAAGTAAAATTATAATTCCGCCTAAATGTTTTATTTGCCACCGTCTGCTGTCATTCCATCCGCCCCCGTTCCACGTTCGTTTCTGGTTCCTCCTTGCCCTTAGCTCCTTTTGTTGGACACATTTCTCTTTTTGTGGCACATTTCTTTTGTGGCATTTCCCATCTCTCTGTATGTGTGTGTGTGTGTTTTGGTAGAATTAATTTTATTCAAATTAATGATGAAGCTTATAATTGGCCCCGTTTTTTCGTCTCCGTTCTGTTCATTTTTTAAATAAAGACACTTCACTGTGTGGAGGATGGCAACATAGTCATCTCCAGCAGCAGCAGCAGCCTCCAGTTATCTCCACCTCCAATTCACTTGGGCATCGTCATCGTCATATCCAGTATCTCTCCCGTATCTGTCTGAGGGAAAGATGGGGCGACTCTGGCTTTTTAAGAGCATTTGACATGACTTGGGCTTCATTTTCCATTCGATGCGACGCCGCCTCCACTTTGATTATGACGTGAAGTTGGCCAAGTGCAAATACTTTGCTGGTACTTTTTAATTAACTTAATTAGCATAGATGATGGGCTAAGAGCAGCGCTTACACAACATCAAAATTGCATTATGCCTCGCAAGCTGGGACCACGGGGAAGTCCCTCCCCCATTTTGATTTAGATTCCTTGAAGCATGCTGAATTTCTGAGTAGAACGACGCTTCCTTCCATGACATAATGCATGACACATGGCCGGTGGCAGTGGGAGTGGGAGTGGGAGTTGAGGAAAAAGCTTTTCATTTTTCCAACCTTCACACGGCATGAATGTTACATTGAAGTAATAAGGAAGTTATGATGTGTGCCCTTATAATCGATTGTGAAATTTTGAAAAGGCAAAGACTAATTAGTTCAAGATATTAAATTTGGGTTCAGGAAGAAGGTTAAGGGAATTTCAATTCCTTTCAATTGTAAATAGATAATGCAATAGGTTATATTAAGATATGAAATATAAGTAGATATAGGTTTACTTTACACTTACGATTAGAAAATCCGCTGAACAAGAAGAAAACTATGAAAAATGCAATCATATATTGAAAATTACCTGAAAATAACATCTTTTATACCTTTTGAAGTATTCTATTCTATTCTATTTGTTAGTTTATTTGCTTTTTACTAACCTTACACCAGTTTTTAAGTTCTAATTGTGTTCCTTAGATTTCCATAGCCAATAAACTAAATAGAAATCTAATGAATAAATGATTATATTCCTCTACCAACTTTCCCCATCTAAAAATCAACTCAAATGATTCAAAACAGGACCCCATTTTTAATACGTTTCAAAGTTTCCTTAAGTAAATTCAATTAAAATAGAATTCCTTAATGAAAAAAAGCTTCACACCCTTGAACATTTATGGACCGACACTCGTCAATTTGTTATTTATCAATGGGTTATGGGACCGACACAAAAATTAATTTCAATTCAATAGATAATTTTCGGGTAACCCATCAAACGATGAATGTGACCAATTAAGTTGCCGTCGATCGGAAAATATATATATTCTATAAAAAAATATGTCTGTTTGCTTGGAAAGCTCTCACATGCGATATGGAAATTAAGAGTTCTAACTTGATGGTGGTGGTCTCTGGGATCATGCGAGGAATCTGAAATCTCTCAAGTGGTTGGTGCTTTCTATTGGGGTTTCCCCTAGCTGGAGGCGCTAAATGCAGGAAAAGATTATAACGGAGGAAATGCTGGCAATGGAAATGGAAATTGGGACGGGGGCGGTGCCGGTGACGATGGCTATGGCTATGCAGACGACGCACATAAATCGATGCGTATAAATTTCTGTCTAATTTTTTTATAGCGCTTGATTTTTGATTTACGCATCGTTGGATGGTTTTATTTCGATCGAAGCATCGGTTTCCCAGAGACCATATTTATTTTTATTGCTTTTTAATGCGCCGCCGAGGAAGTTTTTATTTTTATTTTTATATTTGGGTGAGAAACTGTATTTGGTGCGTGTGGACGGACGGATGACTGCCGACTGCCGAACAATGAATCTTGTGGGATTATTTATATATGCGAGTGCGGTGTTCGGGGTGACGCTTTATTTTAAATTCAAATTCGCCCCGCCACCTTATTTATATTTACTTGGCTCAGCCAGCGTGTTTGCGCTTTATAATAATAAAATATTCCACTCTTGTCTCTGTCCCCACAGGACACGAAGCAGCAGAAGCAGCAGGAGCAGGAGCATCAACATCCGATGCAGGCGACAGCAAGGACAGCGGGCTCCAGCTCCAGCTCTAGCTTCACGTCCACGTCCACATCCACATCCACATCCAAGACGAGAGCAGGAACAACGTCGTTAATCTATTTACCGCCTTTCTGCTATCCATGTAAGCATGTGCCTGCGGCCGGTGCTAGGATCCAGAGTCGAAGCCGGAGTCAGGGCCAGACATTGGACCACGGCAGCTGCTGTTCCGTCTGTCCGACCGGCTGGGAACATAAAAATTATGATAAACATGCTTCAGCGGCAACGTTGACACCGGCAACAACTACTACAGCCGCAACCACAACAGGACCTGCAGCGGCAACAATGTCCTCCTCGGCATCCACCTCCTCCTTGTGGACTGGTAAATTCCTGCAGGCGAGTATTCAGTTACCCGCGGCCGCAGCGGGCCATAGCTGCACCGATCTCCGGCAGACGTCGCAATTAGTTATGCCCACAATGGCTGCTGGCGAGGATGGCGCGGATGTAGCCATTGCCGGCGGTGTCTTGGAATGCGGCGGCAAGCGATGCTGGCGACGTGAGCGAATGCGGCGCGAACGACCAAGTCATGCGTCTGCGGCATCACCGCTGCTGGCCCAGGTGAATCCAATCAGCACTAGCCCAGCATCAACAACAGCAACAACAACAACAACAATGGAGACAGCAGCCGAACTACTAGGAGCTGTGGCAATAGGAGCCACAACATCCCACAACCCAGGAGGTGGTAGCAACGCGCAGCACAGTTCGCAAACAACGACAACGGCAAGGGGCACAACTGGCGCAGCATTGCCGCATGATGATGAGGAGGAGTATGATGAATGTAGGTGCTTTAACTATAACGGTGATATTAGTCTGGAGCGACGATGGGGAGAGGCCGCGCAACTTTCCGGCATTACGTGGCTGATGTTCTTGTGGCAGCATCTGCTGCCGGGCAATGGAAACAAGACCCGCTCCCACAATCACTCCCACTCTGAATCCAACAACAGCAGCAGCAGCAACAGCAGCAACAGCAGCTCTATGTTCCCAGCGGCGAAAACAAGTGGGAGGAGTAGGAGCACCACCACCATGACATCGACAAAAAGCTGGCTGGGACCGCTACTAATGCTGCTTTTGGCCACGTCCGTCAGCGGCTGGGGCGGTCGGCAAGATGGTGAGTAGAAGCATCCCTTCCCTTTTCCCCGATAAGTAGCGCTATGATAAGAATTTATAATTTCACTTGGAGCGCCAAGAAAGTACTTCAAGCTGGGACCTTCTCCGCCCCCCAAGTCCCCAATTTCATTTAATTTTTGCGGCATAATTTGTACTCGCAATAGAGCGTCAGCTGGCGTCGGCTCATCCCTCTGCCTTCCAAAACTCCGACAGAGCCAGTGCCTCCCACACCCATTCACTCACCCCCAACTGTTGGTCATGCTCAATTGAATCCATAAGTAGTTTGTGACCGCAGATCTGCGTTCGTATAATGCGTTTCAACTGTTTCACCATGAGCGAATTTGCCCAAAAACGAAAAAAAAAAGAAAATAAAGCAGAGAAAAACAATGAAAAACAACAAGCAAGGAGGAGAAAAGCAGCAACAGCCGACAGAGCAACATGCAATGGCAAATTGTACGGAAATTGCCCGAAACAAACAGCCAGAGCCAGGGCCAACCGCCGACCACCGACCGACCGCTGACCATAATTCACTCAAGTTAGACAAAAGCATTTTGGTTGCCCCGCCCCTGGGTAACCCACTGCCTCATCGTCCTCATCCTCCTCCAACACACAGCTGCTGTCCCTCTATGCGAAACGCAAACGAAAGTCCAAAATCCAAAATCCAGACCCAGACCCAGAGCCAGAGCCCGAAACGCAAATGAGTCTCGCAGGCGAAAAGCGTCATGCTCTTTGAGTTTAGCTATGTGCGGCAATAAGTGCCTGTCTGTATGGAGTACGGGGTGGTGTACGTCCGTCCCATCAATAGGGGTGGCGGTCCAGTAATGTTCGAAAAGGGAGTGCTCCCCTAACCACACATACTACATACATACATCTGCCCCGGTTCAAGCTCCTAACGAACGACCTCTTCAAATTGCGCACACCCACCAAGTGTGGGCAGCATAATTGGGTTAAGGAGTTGTTAGCGCGTTGAAGTTGTCATTATAGATCATCGTAGATAAGATAAGTACACGTTGCCGGCGATAGGAAATTGCTTGTCACAACAGAGCGGGGGATGGGGATACAACCACCAAATGACAGAGCACATAGTTAAACAATTAATATTGTCTTAAATAGTCTAGCTGTCAATCTTAATTGAATGCAGAAAACAAAAAAAATGATGACAAAAAGTGTTTCTTAATGACGGGGGTCTTTTATCGCATATCATAAAGTTGTAGGACAACATGTGATTATCGAGTGTCCTTACCTTTTTTCTGGTATATATCGATACAAGTTTTACTATTATATTTTGAAATAGGATATAATATCAGATACTGAGTACATCTCGAAGATAGATGTAAATTTTCTTGAAAATTATTATATGAAATGGTACAAATTTCATTCCCCTAAAAAGGACAAGCTTAGGTTGGTTTAGAAAAGGGCAGAAATCTGGTTAATACTTCAGTTTATATCTCAAGGAGACTGTGCAGGATCAAGAAATTCCCTTTTGATATCATTGTCCTTTTAGCTTCCATTGTCCCTATCAGGAACTTATTAAGGTGTAGCAAGAAACTCCTTAGAGTATATATATTCTTTCTTCTTTTCTTTCTATATTTAAATTTATTTACTTATTTAATCTATATTTATTACACTAGTCGAAAAAGATTTGTAGTAGATGTTTTATTCTAACTAAAAGAATTATCAAACTTTACCAAGTAAACTAAAATTCTATTTTCTGCTATATTATTATAAAATTTTCTTGCTTCTCATCATAAACAAAAATATTAGCTATAGTCTAGCATGGAAAACATTAAATGTAATTTATCTATGGTTTCAAAAAGTTCTTGTTTGACATTTTCAAAACTTTTTCTTGTTTCTGTCTGCTCCAAACACATGTAGACATAGTATTGGAAGAGAGGCGCCTTAGATTTCTTATGTAGCTTCTACCGTGCAGCTGACAAAGCTCCCCGAGATTTATTTTGATTAATGCACCTGATTACTGTCAGTTTATAGGGATCCATTGTGAGGAGCACAACTCTTTGAGCTTATTTTATTTTATTTTCCTTCCCCCTTTTCTTTTTTTTTTTTGGCTTTCGCTTTGTTGTTGTTGCTGCCTAAGCTTGTTCATTTCTCCCACCAAACTCGTATATATTTTTTTTTTCGCCGCTCTGTTTTTCTTTTGAGCCACTCTAATCCAAACGAAAAACACACCAAAAATATATCCGAAAAGCCCCGTGCCCGCGTCCGTCATTTCAACTGTCTATACGCATTTGTACGCTTGTCTGTCTGCCTGGCAGTCGGTCGTGGTCGTGGTCGTGGTCGTCGTATATTTGCTTTTAGCTTGTATTTACTTATGCTTGTCCTGCTGCATATTTCAGGGGTAGCGAATTAAGGGCGAAGGGCAACGTGCGATGATTGTATTGCTAGCAGCAGGAGCAGCAGCAGCAGCAGCAGCAACGACAGCAGCAGCAGCAACAATAGTCGCTGCGGCACTCAGGCAAAAGTATTGAATCATGTTGGAAAATTATTCACGGTACTTGAAATTGGCGAAACAATTATTTGTCGGGTGTACCGAGGCCAGGGGGGTGGTTTCGGGTCTCTCCGTTTGCTGTTCGTTGTTCGCTGTTCGCTGTTCGCCGTTCGTCTGTTCCGGCTTCGTTCCCGTTTCCGGACCTTCGTTCGGGGCGGTGGCTGCCCGGCAAAGTATGCTACACTTTTCACACAAGGAAGCCCGCTGTGCGTATGGGCCGCATTATGACAGGCTGCGAATGTGGCCCGTAAAAAGCACAAGTCATTGGGAAACACAAACAACAACACACACACACACACAGTCGGAGCTGGAGCTGGAGCTGGAGCATAACTTTGGCTATACGTTCGACTCCATAGTCGGCGGTCTGAGCTGCGGCTCAGTTGGGGCTCAAAGTTCAGAGCGCTGCGCTGATCCTGCGCATGAGTACCTTTTGTTTGCCGCAAATGTAAAAACAAAAAGCGAAAAAAAGAAAAAAAAATGGAGGAATCAACGAGAAACAAGTAAAATAAAAGAAAGGAAAGGAATAATAAAATAAAATGTGTATCGCTGTAAGTACGGTGTGTGTGTGTGTGTGTGTGTATGGCACCGTGTTGCCGTTGCCCTTTGTTGTTGTAGCTGATACACATTGAAAAACTAGGACTATTCATTTTATAATTTAATTACAATTTTTTTTTAATAATTAAAAAGTCAAAGGAATAACTTTAGGATTCTTATATACACAATTTTCTGATTACGTCCGAAGGTTATTCTGCAAATAGGAAAACAAAGGATAAGCACTCATTTTATTTATTACTCTTATTAAAATTTTATATCAAATTTCAATTCTATAGGACAACTTTAAGCCTCACAGGAGCTTTTTGAGTTTATCCTTTTAATATTACTTAATATTACTAATAGTCCTTAAAAGCAGGCAATGATTTGTTTGCAAGAATCTTTGCGCTATACTTGTTTTTACTAAAGCCAAGGTATATATATAATTTAAGAGGTAATAGATAAAGGACTCTACGAAAATTAGTTGCTAATATTGAGTCTCCTTATTTTCCCTCAGTGCTGCGGCTCTTTGCCTTTGATTGTGCTTCTGTTTCTGGCTCGGGTGCGCACATTCGTCTCTACTTGCGAGTTTTCTGTATTTGAATGCATAGCCTGTGCTCGGACCGTCCTTCGTCCTCCGTCTCCGACTTGCCACTTCCCACTCCTATCAGGACGGCTGCCATCTCCATCTCCATCGGCGCTGCTCCTGCCTTCCTGCCTTCCTGCCCACCACCCTTGTCCCAAACTCCCGAACTCCGGGCCAACTCCTCCCTGCCGCTGCCAATCGTGCCCAAACATTAAGCTGTATGTATGGCTTGGAGGGTGGTTTTACCATTTTCTATATGTATCTGAGGGTCCATACCCATTGTATGGGATATAGTACTCATGCCCCGGTGTGTGTGTGTGTGTGCGAGAGTGAGTGTGGCATGCCGTTAGCTAACTTTCTTTCTCTATACTTTGGCTTGGGCTCCGCTTTGCTTTTCCCATTTCGGCTCTGTTTCCTTTTTTCTCTGTATTTCTTTTTTTTTTTAATATTCACAATTGCCATTTTGGTAGTTTTCCTCCTCTGAGGGTGTGTGTGTGTGTGTGAGCATGTCTGTGTGTGACATTATTATTATTACGAGCAGTTTTCGGTTGCCTGGCTTGTTCAACTTATTTATGCGCCTGGCCCTCCCTTAAGCGGATCCGTATCCGTATCCGTAGCCCGTACCCATGTCCCGCTCTTGACGGCGGGTCGTAAATTTGCGGCCCCTTATGCGCACGCACTTAAATACAATCATAATAATAATTGAAACAATTTACAAATTAAAAAGCCACAAATCTTGCCACCAAAAAAAAAAAAACTTGACAATACAATTAGAAGCGAAGAAGCCCAAGAAGGTGGCCTGGCGCAAATCAACAAATCTAAATTTATCAATAAGCGAGTGTGTACTTTAAATGCTGCTCTTTTATGCGGCTTTTAAATGAACAATGTACGCAATTGAGGTCGCATCCACGGGGAGGCAATTGGAATATAATATCTTAATGCATTAATGGGGTCTTATGTCTTTTATTAATAAATTATTACTCTGTGTATTTTGGCTTGCAGCGCCCACAAATTGCACGTTTCCGGCCCGATGGGAGGGCTCCTGGTTCCTGTCCGGCTATCAACAATCCATACACATCAAGGGCTCGCAGTTCAGCTATCGCGGCAGGTGTGCGGCCTCCGATGGTAACAAATATCTGATTGTCGACGAGTAAGTACCACCACTTTTCCTTATCCTGCGAGGCCAGCCAACAATATGTATATGCTAACATCTCAACACGATACTCGCTACCCATAACCTTTTTTTTTACATTTTGTTTTCTGGCAGAGGCTGTGGAAAATGAGATGTTCTGGTTTACATTTGCCACACACATCTCTTTATATATGTATATATATTCTTTTAAGACGCTTTCTTTAGTCGAAGAGTGCCTATAATTGAATAAGTTTTCATTTCTGACTGAGGAAAAGGTGTGTGTGTGTTCGGTAAACTGTGTTAAGGTAAGGCGGAGGACCCTCCGCATGAGCGGCAAAATGCAGCACTAACCTCATTAAAAAGGAGCCAGCTCAGCACAGTGGGATGAGTGGTGGTAAAGTGGTATGGAGTGGAGTGGAAGGACTGAGACAACAGCGAAGGGTGAGCCATGTCGAAGGAGACACGGAGACACACTCACCCGTATATAGTTATAGTACACGGAGATAAACTATAGTCAGTTACAGCCTTTCGTAAATTCCTATGCATCTTTTAATAAAAGAATAGGATAAACCCTTAAATCGTTAAAGGATTTCAAACCTATTATGTCATAATAACCTATCCTAAAGAGTTTTTGGAAACTTAATTATATCTAGGCAATTTTCTTGACTTACGGTTTAGTGTTAGCTTCATTTTATCATAAGGAATACTTATTTTTCAATAAAGAGGTTACCTGATAATTTTAATTCAGCACTAGAAACCTCTATCATGCTAATTTTTGAACACATTTTTTAACTTCCGGTTAAACCTAACCTTCACTATATATAAAGAAAAGTCTGTTAAGAAGACTGTTAGCTTGATAAATTTTACTGCTAAGAATAACTTATGGTTAGTAACATTTTTAGAGTTTTTATAATCAATAAAAGTAGTTATAGTTATAGGCCTCAAATCTACATTTATCTCCCTAGTAAGTATCTAGTTTTTCTCTCCGTGTACCAATGCACTCTCACACAAGCAGTCAAACCTGTCGTCAACGTTATCGCTGTTGTTGATGTTGCCGCTGCCTGCCAGCTGCTGTTCCTCCTCCTGCTCCAGCTCCTGCTGCTCATCTTCCACCTCCACCTCCTCCTCCGACTGCTGCTGCTGCTGTTCTTAACTTTTGCCTTTGAAACTGGTTTGAGTTGAGTTTGTTTGCCGCACTGGTCCGCCATGTCCTCCATCATCTCCTTTCACATGGAGGGGCGCCACCTTAGAGGCGGCGCGGCGCGTTGCTCGTAATTCGGATGTTTGACAAGAGCGAGTCATGTACTGAGACAAAAAAGCAGTCATCTTATCTGTCTATCTATCTATACGTCCCCATCACCCCCTGAATATCGCCCGATAGATTTATCCGTGTATGTGTTTGTGTTGTAAATGCTAATACTACTACTGGGGCTACAAAAGCCTAAAACTAAATCAAGCTCCTACGTATCTTCCACGTATTGTATTTTTAATTTAGAAAACTGCCTTTTGCATACTCTGTTCTTTTTTGTACCTTACTTAGCAACAGTGTTTGATGCTGTTTCCTTATGCTTTTTTTTTCATTTCAAACGATACGAAACGAAAGCCAAAGAAATTTAAGGAATATTGCTTTTTGTTCTACGACTACTTTTCCAGCCATTCCCTTTGAGCTTGGGTCTGGCGTTTTTCCTTTTCCTTTGTTTTCCTTTCGTATGAATGTATTTTCTTTTTGGTCGTAAAGAGCAATGAGAGAAACAATTAAAACCCTTTTAAGCTGCTTCTCTTAATGCGAAAAAAAGAGTAGTAAAAAGAACCCACAAAATAAAAATAAAACAAAAGGGATGCTAAACATTGAGTTACCCAAGTGAAGTTTATATTTTTGAATTTTTGAGTTTTGCCATGTTTATGCTTATAAATATTTAATAAACATATGAATAATCCTATACGTAAGCTAAGTTTTTCCGTTGTAGCTGAAATGTGAAAATGTTTCTTTTTTTGATTTTTCCGCTGCTTTTCCTTACTCTCCATAAATATTATTGGACGTTTTTTGCTCTGCGATGCCAAAGGCGAAGGCGGGGACTAAGCTCGTATTTAATCCTGAGCCTGATCCGCCCTCTCCTCTGGCTTCCTATTCCATATTCGTTATGTACCAATTTTTGTCGTATACCAATAATAAATATCGTAAACATATCGAGTCCCCCTTTACTATCTATACAAACTAAGAAATTAACAGAACCCCCTACATCTAGCCTGATATCACCATGAAAACAAAAAAAAAAAGAAAAATCAAAACAAAAACCCAAAATGAAACTATTTATTTTGATATTTTATCTACTTATATATACAAATAAATATGTATTCCAAATATTTTTTCATCACTTTTCAAGAACATATATATATATATTTTGTGAGTTTCTTGCGTTCTTAAGTGTACGTCCTTTGAGTTCTTTTCGATGATCATTTAATTACTTAAACTCGAAATAAAACATCAACCTAGTAATCGCTTTTCAATCGAAACTATAACATTTATTACTACCATATACATCGTGGCCAAACTCAAACTGGTTCGAGTCCCTTCAGGACCTTTTCAGCTTTGATTTTGTGCCCTGTTCTGGGATCATTTTTATGCCAGAGTAAATCGAAAATTCCTTCAAATAGGCCAAGGGGTTGCGCCCTCAGTGTGTGTTCCTCCTTGTTTGCACCCGGTATATAGTATATATACATAAGATATTTCGTTTCGTTCCGTTCACACACACAAAATACACACGGAGGTGGGTCCTTCTGAATGCTTGGCCCAAAGTCTTAGCCCCAGTTACCATCCGTTTTATTTGTCGATTGCCGCCAAGAAACCCAAAAAACAAGCCAAAAAACACAACCCCACCACCGAACCAAAAAACAAAAAAAAAAAGAAATAAGAAAAAATGGAAATTCCAAACAGAAAAACATGAATATTGCCATACCATTATTACTCGTAACATATTTACAAGCTACTATACCCAAATACCAAATACCAAAAATACAAAACTTTTCGTTGCAACCCAAAAACTTTTTTAGGAAAGGATGTCATCGTTGCCTGGTTATCTATGAGAAGCATAAAAATGTGCTCCAATATAAAGAAAGTGAGTGCGAAGGTGATAGTATGTATATGCATCAGTCGAACCCATCTGCACTGGCGATGCGTAGCTCTAATAAACAAAGTGATCATAGGGGGGGAGCTCATCCCAATACGAACGGGCATTCAAGACTATCTTCATCGGATCAGTACATAATGAGATCCAATGACGATATGAATGATTGTAAGCATTAACTTTATATTTTTCTCTATATCTCTATCCTATCTATCTCTCTCTAAAATAAGTTATAAGCAAAAAAAAACGAAAAAAGCAAGCAAACTAAAAATGATAAATACAAAGACTCTATCTCCTAACTCGCTATCTCAAAATACCAGTTATCTGTATGATTTTCGAACCTATTATTATCGTTATTATTACATATATTTCGAAATGCTCCCTTAGTTAACCAACATGACTAACCTAACCTTATCATTTAAGCGCTATTTTCATTTCACTCAAAACGAGAATACAAAAGTTTTTCGTTCCGTCCAAAATGATCAACTGAAAAGCAAAGATGAAGAAACACGTTTTAATCTTTTTTGAAAAAATATATAAAATATAAAAAACACACACGAAACAAACGCAGGTTTTTGATTAGTAATTATTTCGGTACTTTAAGTTCTTTCATCTCTTTGGTTTCATTCGAACTTTATTTTCAGTTTTGTTTCGTTTTTTTTTTTTGGTTTCAGTTCTTGTATGATTTTCAATGCAATCTTTTGGTTAATTATACAAAAAACAAAAAAAAAAAAGAAACGAAACCAAACCAAACCAAACCAAACTTGTAAATAGTCTCAAACAACAATTACTCTGCATACGAAATGAATAAAAAATAAATCTACTTTATTTACGTTTGTCATGGCAAGGGTCCTCTCTCTACCTCTCTCTCTGTATATCTCGAAACTCACCTCACTTTAATCAAGCAATCAACCAAGCAAATCAATCAATCAATCAAGCAATAACCACTCAATCTATCAATCAACAAGAAGTACATATCTAACCGCAAAAAATATATATATAATCGAATAGAAAACCGATAACAATAATCAAAATATCAACTGTATATTTCCCCCTAAATACAAAACAACACACGTTGCAAATAATCCTGCAAAAAGGTTACAACTTAAACTACTCGTACCACCCACCACCACTATTAATATTACCTAATACCTAACGTTAGTGTCAATCCAATTAAGTCACTTAGTTGCGATTTTCAAGCGTATTAGCGGATTAGCAGATTAACCCGTCCCAACAGAGCAACCAATTAAAGCCAAACTGAAACTGAAACCGAAAATCGAGGGCCACAGCAAGTGCATAGGTCTAGTCGCTAGAAAGAAAATCAATTTCCCGGCCTTTTTTAATTCTAATTCTAATTCAAATTCAAATTCTAACTGAAATAAAGGCAAATCCCCCATCCAATCGAATCGAAAGGAAGAGAAAAAGTAAAACAGGAAAGTAGAGCTGGTAAAGCATCGATGTTGATCGATTTAAAATCGATTCTTTGCGGAAACTTGCGATTCTTTGCCAGCTCTACAGGAAACTTTAACCAGTTTTAGTTACCAACTTTTCGTTTATCTCTTTTTCAGTTTGGTTTCCTCTTTGGTTCTGTGCATTCTTTTCATTTTACCTTAACTGTAAATAATTAAAAAACAAATCAAAAAACAAATTGTGTAAATATATAAAAGTTACAATAAACGAAACAAAAACGAGACATGAGACTGCAAAAAAACAAAACAATAATAATAACGAATTGTTTGTTCCATATATATTTTTTAATACGAAACAATTACATATATCTAAATATATAGCTATATATATTTGCAAACTCTATTCAATATTTATATATGATATGTATATTTTCCTTACTTCAACATTTTCAACAACAACAACAGCAACAAGAACTCTCCAAAAAACCAACTAAAAAACCGAAAACCAAAACCCAAGCTAAAGCTAAAACTAAAGCTAAAACTAAAGCTAAAACTAAAACTACAAATCAATTTGGAGCAATTCAAAGTTAAAACACGTGTGTGTGTGTGTGTGTAAAGAGTGTGTGTTGTTTGCTTTGTTTGATTCAAATATCGAGAGACGAATAATAACAAACACTGAAGAACACCGAGGTGTTTGCACACACACATGAGAAATTTGATTGGATTTTGGTTTTGAAATTTGCATATTTGAAGTTTTTTTTTTTCGTAAATTTTTGAACAGCCGCAGCTACATACATAAGTTCTTGTACAGTTCGTTTCGCGTTTGTTCCCATTTGTATAGTTCGTTCTGTATAGCAAACAACAAAAAAACCGACAACCAAACCCCAAATGAGCACCCACACACTTTTGTATTTACAAAACAAACTTGTATTTAGTTGCGACCCAGAGATGCGACCCATCCACTCATCTGTAAATAAATCTCTCACCTCCAATCATGACAAAATAACCCAAAGACCAACAACACACACCGGACAGAGGTACGAGTATTGTAAAGTCTTGAACCAGTTTTCCCCCGATTTCCCCAGGCCCATTCAAATCTCTGACGGCAGACGCGGCGGGCACCACACTGGGATATATGGTTATGTACATATAACCATGGGATAAAGCCAGTGGATTCTATTTCCAATAAGTTCTAGTACATACTTTCAAGAGCAGCCGGAGAATTATTGCCCAAGTTTGTTCCTACTTTTTTTATGTTTTGTATTTTACACTTTATCGGGTTTCACATTCACAACCCACTTTGCCCCATGATTTATTTATAGGTCGGAGGGGGCGCAGGGCGGAGTAAATGAAAATGGAAATTGGAAACTTGACACCGAGCAGCGAGTAGCGAGTGCCAAAGCATTTTCCCCCCCATTGTCTCGCAGGGATCCAAACTTATTTGTGTCGATTTTATACTTCTCTGAATGTATAAACCGCTCGCAAAAACACATTCTATTCGGATCCATAATTCGCTCCTAATTGCTTTAATCCGCTTAGTTCTTAATCAGGTAGCGAGCCTCCTCCAGGGCTCCGACTGCACCTAATTACCACCAGTGAAAATAGCCAAGTGAGGGGCCGCAATTAAGACTTTGAATGGATGAAATATATAGGATATAGAACGCTCGGTGCACATAATGCAGCAGCAGTCAGTAAGTACCAACACCCAAACGACCCTCGACCTTCTTACATACTCACTTCAGTGCTCAGTCATGGCAACGGAATCCGGAATCCGTCCGGACACGCATAGAAATGTAAATTCATTATTTATTATTTGTTTGCCTCAATAGAAATCAAATTAGTTTAAGTGGCGAGCTCTCTTGGCCCACAGCGCAGTCAGACAGTTGGCCTCGCCAGTTTGAAAAACGCCAGTCCTGGGCTCAGCCACGCCCACCCGTCTCCAGCTCCTGCTCCGGCTCCTGCTCCTGCTTCAGCTCCTGCTCCTGCTCCGGCTTCAGCTCCTCCTTTGGCTTCACAATTTGATATTTTCCACTTGATATTTCCGAGCTTCAGTCCGACTGACTGTCTGACTGTTTGACTGGCTGTCTTGGCCGTCTCACAGTGTTGCTTCTGGCTGGCTGTCTGCCTTCCCTCTTTTTCCTTGATTTGATTTTGTTTAAATATTAAACGAGAGTTTTAGGTCTCATTTATAATTCAAGAGCCTTCAGGGCCGTAAAACTGATGGCGGGGGGGGGCTGAGTTCGTTTTGATTAGCAGACCGTAAAACAATGGTATCAATAGTACAATGGAATTGCGTGCGTGTGTGCATGTTCTTTATTAAATCATTATTTGTTTAGATTGTCACACAAGCACACACACACGGCACACACACACGGCACACACACAGGGCACACACAGAAAACACAATAAAGCACAACCTACTCGTACAAGATTTAATTTCAGTTTTTGGATAAAAGAGCAAACCCTCCCGGCACTGAAAATGCCGAGTAAGAGCTCATCCATCACAAATAGTAGTAGCAATTTTAATGCGCTTTAAATTGAGATTTTCAGCAACGGCATAATAAAGTTGCTTTCAATTACGATACTTTCATTTCAGTCATTTTTATGGCCCACACACACAGCACACACACAGTGTGCACACACGAACAATGGCAGTGGCAGTGGCAATGGCGAATGGCAGGCAGTAATTGGACTTAGACAGTCGACAGTTTCAATTACTGAAAACTTGTACACATATGGGATTAGCAGGGGAAAAGCCTTGTTAATTGGTCTACAGCTAATGTAGTGTCGTTTTCACTCGTGTCGGGCATCAAAGGATATGCAAGGATATTCCTCCCGCACACACACTCACACACATTAGGCCACAATGATAGGATCTTTTGTTTTAGGGATTAAAAAAAAAGGCAATTCAAACTTTATAGGATAAGGAATGGCAACATAAATCTTATGTATCAATTATTTAATCAGATTATTAATTGAAATTGTGTTATTATCTAAAACTATTAAATTGTACATCAAATTTGTTATATTTATGTATGTAAGTGTACATAAATTACTGAATTCTTATACAAATCAATGTAGTGGCTTTGAATTTGCCCTGAAGAGTTGCGATTATTTTCTTGTATAATCGATTGGTGATACAACTAATCGAAATCCATAAATTGTTTATTTAAACAAAATACTTGATATAATAAATCTAACTCTATGATTTATAAAGAGGAAAAGAAACAACTGCTTCAGATATTCAAATATTCACTTACTTGAAAATACCCCAAATTATAGGAAATATAATTCATATATTTTAAAATCAATTCTAATAAAATTAATCCTCTCTGCAATGTCCTTGAGTGTGTGCCGAAAGTGTAAAGTGTGTGCAAACGAGCTGCCAATCAAATGAACGAACGACTCCTGTCGCCGGACACTATTCCTGAATCCTCCGATTCATTGGCATCAATGATAATCCTTTTGCGAAGTATCAAAAGCTATTGCCTACTTTGGGGCGTTTGCTAACTACCATTTAAATTGCATTCTCGAGTAGAAACTATACACAGTACTAGTACCGAGTATCACTGGCCAGTCGAGTATCCTCCTTAATTATGTTTACAGCTTTTTTTCTATTTAATTTAAGCCAGAGCTAGAGCACTTTTAGCCAGGTATTTTGTGTAGCGCTTGACGGGCCGCCAGTCAGAATTTGCATACCAATTTTCACTACCAGAAGCAACCACTTCCACTTCACTTTGCAAAAAAAAGCCAAGGATA